AAAAAAAAAATACAGAGTTTTGATCATAAAACAGACCATTCAAATAGCATATTAGTAAGGCATATTATTGGTAGAAATATATATCCAGCTGGTATTTTGTTATAAAGATCTCATTGATTTACAAGCTATTATAACTTCTAACTTTTTTGCCATATAAACATCAGCAACTGTACGAAATTGCACCTTTTTATGCATCTGAATAAAACTAGGATGTTTTTTCACCTCAAGTTTGAGCTCCATATTCTCATTATAAGCCTGAAAACTATTTTTAGATTATATCTTCAATAAACTGTTCCATAAAAATGAAAAAATTGTCAATTTTTGGACTACTGTTTCATATGCTTTCGAGGGTTAAACAGTGGTAACAAAGGTGATTCAAATAGCTTTTTCGGGGGAAAATTAATACAATACATTGATACAAATGTGATGTTAAAAGGGAAATGGATGTACAGCAATCCAATTACGCTTTCCACTTCTGCAGAAAAACATCCATCCTGACATCTTAGAAATCAATATGTTCTTTGATAAAAGGAAAACATTGACAGAGAGAACAACATATTAAATCAGTACAAGCACTGAGGGGTTACAATCATATTAAATCTAACTCAGCGCTGTTTCCTATGAAACCTGATGCTAATATAAGTGTCAGAACAAACTCATCCAGACTATAATTGGACATGGTGCAGAAGAAAGAAAGTCACAGAGTCATTTTCATTAACTATCAAATATTCAAAAACTTTACCTGGTATCCTGATGAATTTCCCACACCAGGGCTTTGAAGTGCACTGGTCACTCTCGAACGGCCAAAGAATCCCAAAAATCGACCAAAAAGGGAGTCAAAATTCTCCTCAGTGGGAACTTCTGGTGTTGCGGATGTTGAACCTTGCTCATCTAAAAAGGAACCAAGGATGGATTTTAAACTGATTGAAAACATTTGCTTGTAAATACAGCCTGTCTGAATAAGGCTAGCAGGGTTCGCAGCTTGATCATGAATTAATATATATCATAAATGCATTTTAAAAGGTTGCAATAAGAATAAAGGGTGTATAAGAGCTTAATAGTTAAATTAAAAACTCCAAAGACTTCAAAATGCCATAAAAGGATTCCCATACAGTTAGCAGACTGAATACAGAAGACATCCGGGTTGACGTCTCGCTGGACAGTGGACTGGACACTAGATACAGCCTCTTGTGTAGAGCTCAGGGTATGCACAGCTGAATCCTGGTTGCACAGTCTGGGGTCTTTACTGAATAGACAGTGGAACACAGTAACACATCAGGATTTCATTTTAATCAGTAGTAGTAGTAGTATATTTTTATTTAATGCCATGTCAGCATCTTATCTTAGGCTATCACTGTCAGTTACCAAATACAAAATCAAACCAGAGAATGTCCCATCGTAAATATTTTATTACAATATCACAAATATTTCGTCCCAATTGGTCCTCAAATTATCAGATAATATAACACTTGAACACTGAATTCAAATTCTGAGACTCAAACTATGTTTTCAATTCATATTTAAATACCAGAAAAAAGGTTATTTCTAAATGTATACTTATAGATATGCTACTCGGTATATATGAGAGTAAATATCAGATAAATACTTACATTTTTTTTTTTT